CAATGCCCTGAATTTGGACTTGTAAGCCTAGTAGACTGTGAGAAAATAAACTTCTCTTTGTTAAAGCCATCCACTTGTGGTATTTCTGTTATAGCAGCACTAGATGACTAAGACATCTACCATCTCAATAGTCTAAAGAAAAAAAGCGACATGATCACATCAATTAATACAGAAAAGCATTTGACAAAATTGAACACTCATAGATGATACAAACTCTCAGTACACTAGAAATAGAAGGGGAACTTACTCAACTTCATAAAGAACATTTACAAAAATTTTACAGTTAACATAATAAAGGCTGAATGTTTTCCCCCTATGATCAGGAACAAGGCAAGGATGTCTACTCTTACCACTCCTATTTAACATGGTACTGAAAGTCCTGGTCAGTGTAATAAGGCAAGAAAAAGAAAGAAAAGGCACACACTTAGGAATAAATAACTCTTTCCCTAATTGAATAAATAAAGCTTTTCGGAACTGCAGATATTACTGTCTACATAGAAAATCCCAAGGGACCTTTAAAAAAACAAACCAAAAAAACCCCAAAAAAACTCTAGAACTAATAAATGAGTTTCGCATGTTGTAAGATACAAGGTCAACACTTAAAACTTATTTTTACATATTGTTAACAATTGGAAACCAAAATTAAAAACAAAACATCATTTTTAATAGCTCAAAAAAACGAAGTATAAATCCAACAAAACATATAAAGCAGGCAGAAAACTATAGAACTGCAATGAAAATATCTAAATAAATGTAGAGACATACTGTATTCATGGTTTGAAAGACTCAACATACAAAAGATGTCTGTTCTACCCAAATTGATCTATAGGTTTAATGTAATCCTTATCAGAATCCCAGCAGGAATAATTTTATAGATATACACAAGTGGATTCTAACATTTATATGGAAAGGCAGAGGAACTAGAATAGCTAAAAGAACTTGAAAAATAATCCAGTTGGAAGAACCACACTAGCCAGTTTTACAATATTTATGGTTTAGATATAGTCATCAAGACAGTGTGGTATTGGTCGAAGGATAGTCACAAAGATCCATGGCACAGAATTAGACCCAGACAGGTACAGCCAACTAATTTTTGATAAAGGTACAAAATAAATGAAAAAAGAACAGCTTTTCAACAAATGGTATCGGAACAACTGGACATACATAAAAAATGAATCTTAACCTAAACCTCATACCTTATATAAAAATTAAAACAGATCTCAGATTTAAATGTAAAACATAAAATTCCAAAACTCGTAGAAAAAGAATAGGAGAAAATCTTTTTTGCTTCAATTTAGGTGAAGAGTTCTTAGACATGACACCAAAACCACAATCTATAAAAGAAAAAGATCAATAAATTGGACTTTATCAAAATTTTTTAAAAAGTGCACATAGAACATTTACAAAGCTATGCCTCGTGCTGGGCCATAAAACAAGTTTCAATGATTGAAATACTACATGATATATTTTGATGAAAACAGAGTTAAAGTAGAAATCAATTTTTTAAAAAAAGAAGATACCCCAAAATCTCAGAAACATTCATTTAGGAATTAAATAACATCTAAGTAATCCATGGGTCAATAAATAATTCAGAGGATATTAGAAAATATTTTTAATTGAACAATAATGAAAAAATAACATACCCGAAATTTGTGGACTACAGCTAAAGCACAGCTTAGAAATGTATAGCTTTAACTGCATATTTTAGAAAATAAAAAAAGGTTTAAAATCAATGACTCAAGCTTCCACCTTATTTGCCTGAGCAAATAAAGCCTGAAATAGAAGGAAATGATAAAGAATAGAAACTAGTGAAATAAAAAACAGATCAACAGTAGATAAAAATCAACAAAACCAAAAGTTGGTTCTTTGAAAATATCAATAAAAATGATAAACCTCTAGCTAGATTGTCAAGAAAAATAACAAACCCAGAAATTATCATTATTAGGAATGAAAAAGGGGACATCAATACAGATATTATAGATATTAAACAGAAGAGGATATCATAACTAGGTGCTGATAAATTCAACAACTTAGATGAGATGGAAAAATTCCTTGAAACATACAAATTACCAAAACTGACACAAGAAGAAAATCTAATGATCACTGTATCTGTTACAGAAAGTAAATTCATAATTTAAAAATTTCCTCAAAAAAAAAAAAAAAAAAGAAACCTCTAGGCCCAGATGGATTCCTTGCTAAATTTCCGTACATTTAAGAAAGACAAATCTCACAAAACCATTTTATGAAAATAAAACACTCCAACTCATATAACGAGGCCAGTATGACCCTGAGAACAAAACCTGACAAGAATATGGTGAGAAAAGAAAATCATCACGTATTTCTCTCCATATGAAAAGAATGAAGCAGAGCCCCTTCCTCACACCATAGACAAGAATCCATCTGAGACGGCTCATAGACCTAAACGTGAAAGCTATAACCATAAACCTTCTGAAAGGAAATACAGCAAATACCTGTGTGACCCTGAGGTACGCAAAGGTTTCTTTACAGTGAAAAACAGCCATTGTGGAAAAAAAAAATTGATAAATTGAACTTCAAATAAAAATTAAAAATAATATGAAAACAATATGCTTCTATTCATTAAAGACACTGTCAAGTAAATGAGGCAGGCAGACACTAGGACAGGATGTCCACAATACACACATCTGACAGGAGACAGGTATGAGGAATATATAAACGAAAACTCCTACAACTCAATAATAAACAAACATACAAATAAGGAATGGGAAAACACTAGAAAAGACACTTCTCAAAAGAAGACATAGGAATTGAATGTTCAGTAAGCACGTGAAAAGGGGTTGAACGTCATTCCCATTGCCATCGAGTGGATTCCAACCCACAGTGACCCTATACGACAGAGTAGAACTGCCCCATAGGGTTTCCAAGGAGTGGCTGGTGGATTCCAACTGCCGACCTTTTGGTGAGCAGCCGAGCTCTTAACCGCTTCGCCACCAGGGCTCCTCAACATCACTAGTCACTAGATAAATAAGTGGTCACTGGAACCACGACATACTAATGCAAACCCATTAGAATGGCTAAAATGAGGAAGACTGACTGCTAAATGCTGGGAAAGATGTGGAACAGCCAGGACTCTCGTACATGACCGGTGGGAGTATAGAATGGTATACCACTTGTCAGCTTCTTACAGAGTTGTACATACATCCACCCTGAGACGCCGCAGTTCTCCTTCTCAGGAGAGACGAAAACGTCCCCATACGGGGACTTGTGCCAGAACGTTCATTGCAATATTTGTGGTGGCCAGAAGCCACAGCAGTCCAGGTGTCCGCTGACAGAAGAATAGATTGGCAGATTATCAGGCAGTTATGCCATGTAGCACGACTCAGCACAAAAGGAAAACAGTTACAGATCGTGTAACAACATGGAAAATCTCAACAAGCGCATGCTGAGTGAAATACGCAGACATGAAAGAGTGCGTACTGTGTGACTGCACGCACGTGACGTTCTCGAAGAGGAACAGTGGTGAGTTGGGATCAGGGAATCAGAACAGTGGCTGCCTCTAGGGAAGGGGATTGACTGGGAAAAGGAGGGAAGGATTTTTGGGAATCATAAAAACTGCACACGTTTCCCACCTCCCATCGCCACCCCAGACCACATGGATCAGTCTCCTTGCTTGGAATCTCCCTAGTCCCTCTCTGCCCCAACACACCAGGTGCTTCTGTGCACGGCAAGAGTTGAGAAAGAACACGCACGAGTCTCCACGTTTTGTCATCAAGCGATGTTTGTCTTCCATTTTATAAGTGGGAACTATAAAATCTGGAGTAGATTCCCTTATATAAATTTAAAAATAACAAAAACCATCAATGCCATTATTGTTTTATAGCTGAATATAAAAGATTCTTATTAGTGCTAAAAAAAAAAGCATTTCTCCCTCCGTAAATTTAAAAATGAAAAAACAAAACAAATGATGCTTCTATTGTTTTATACCAGAAAATTGCAAAAGACCCCTTCTAGTGCTAAAAAGACATTTCTCCCCATGGATACACTTGTATGCCTGTCTGGCTGGATGAGAAATGCGTAACCAGTATGCTGCCCTTTTGTGCCTTGGCTGCCCAGGAGTTCAGAGCCAGATTCAGTGTTCAGTTCAGCGATCTACATCCCAGGTGTCTGATACACCAGTTTTTCTTAGGGGGAGGGGGACATAAGGTGGGCACATTATTATCCTGTTTCATATTGTAAACTACCGCAAATCATTTAGGGAAAAGGATGATATATTAATCATATAAAATGTTGGCCATTTTGAAAAAAATATTTCTTTCCTGCAGATATAAATACATTGTATGTTTCTCCTTCTTGTCACACAGGGTTAGAACAGGAAAGATTTCTGCTGCTGCCTGAATGGGGTGTCTGCTAAGGGTGAGTCACCGTCCAAAGGCCAGAATGATGCAAACAATAGATCCTTTTTAAACAGCAGCCATACTGACAGGGAAACACCTCGCTTGCATTTGACTCTAAGGGTTAGACTTGAGGAACCAATGTAAAAGGATAGAATATGTTAAGAGTTCTAATGGATCATAACAACAACAAAAAAAAAAACCCATTGCCATAGAGTCGATTCCGACTCATAGTGACCCTATAGGACAGAGTAGAACTGCCCCATAGGGTTACCAAGGAGTGGCTGGTGGATTTGAACTGCCGACCTTTTGGTTGGCAGCCGAGCTCTTGACCACAGTGCCACTAGGGTTCCTAATGGATCATAGATGGCATAAAAAATTTAAGTGCACGTCATTACATTCTTAGGATGAAGAAAGAAATCAGATCTGTATGCAAATGCGCTTACTACCGTTCTGTTGCTATGATAACCGGTGTCGGACGCTTTGGTTTTATCCGCTGGATAGGATATTTTCTGTCCCTTCTCATTTCATAAAACCATATAACCTGGGCCCTCAGGAGAAAATAAAACGTCTTTATTCCCAAAGGGCATATTCTAATGTAACATTAAGGGGGAAAAAAACCCCTCTCACCTGAGCAGCTCCACTGTCAGTCAATTCACTCAGCTTCTCTTCTCCTTGCCCTCGTCTCCGTGTGGCACAGGACTCGGCTCGTCTCTCGCTGTGAACTTTTTTCTCTATTAACCGATTTTGCATCGGATTGACCTGCTTTGTTGCAGCCTTTCGTGAATCAACCTGTTGATTAAAAAAAAAAAAAGAAAAAAAGGTTGCCGTCGATTCTGACTCATAGTGACCTTGTAGGACAGAGTAGAACTGCCCCAAAGCGTTTCCAAGGAGCGGCTGGTGGATTTGAACTGCTGACCTTTTGGTTAGCAGCCGAGCTCTTAACCACTGCACCACCAGGGCGCCTAGCCTGCTAAGACAGAGCAACAAAAATATATAGTGAAAACTTTTGACATTTATAAAAAAAAAAAATGCATTCGTGTATGGATTCTTGAAAATTCTAAATTTGCCAAACTTTCAAAAAGAAAAAAAATAAAGAATAAAGCAACAAATGGACAGTAGAGAAAAACGATCGTCGTTGGCGGGACCCAGACCTGTCTCAGCAGGCTGAGACCAGTGAGAATCAGTCTCCCTGTTAGGACTGTAGAAATGATCGCTACAGAGAGCTTGCTTATTGAAAACAGCATTTTTACAGAAAACTATCACATTTTAAAACTGCCCATGAATTGCTTATTAACCTTTGCTGGGAGTGGATCCAGTACATCTCCGCAGTTTAAATTCTTATTAATTAAAATATTACTTTGCTATCATTGAAGTGAGCTGAATTAATATGAAGGCATAGGAGTTTGGGGCGCTGCTTCCTTTTCTATGCAGGTGACTTAAGCTTTGAGCAAGGTGAGTTCATGCCACCTCGTGCTGTGTACCCAACAGCACCAGGGGTTAAGCTCTAAAACAGGCTTGATGACCCTGAGGTTCCTGCTTCACACCATGGAGAAATCTGGGGCATGATTCACTCTCCATAACCTTGAAGTAGACACAAAAACAGAAGGGCAGTTTCCCCGATACAGGTCGGGAGACCGAAAGCTATGGAGAAGATCCTTACGTGAAATATTTGTTCAAGCGGCTTCGTGTTTACAGCACCTGGAAGTGTCATCACCTTTCTCATGGACTGAACAGGGGGCGGACCATAGGAACCTCACAGGGGGAAATAATGGAGTAGCCAGTGCCAAAACAGAATGAATCACAGTGGCTGGGCCAGCAGAGCCTTAATGTGTAGTGTCTCGGTTTTTAGCTACTATTCCCAACTGTGTTCACTCCTTCCCCTCCTTTAAAACATGCTGGTGCTTTGTGGCTAAGTCTAAGCTGTCACAACACCACTCTTCACCCCCTGCTCTCCAGAGATCCCGGCTATCAAAAGATGGCAAAACCTGTGCCTTTCAGTAACCTGCAAATTGGAAACGCTTCCTAACCACTCAGACGTCCTTTATTTCCACCATCCAACCTTCCCAAACAACAGGGAAAATTCGTGTGTAACCACCTCCTGAGCCACTCTTCCACCGAGGTCACACTGGTAATAAATGTCCATCACACCACTTGTGTGGGACAAAGGGGTTCCCAAGGCTGCTGCACACTGTTCTGCCCTATTAAAAAACCAGCTTACCAATCATCGTGAAAATGTGTTCTACAACAGAAAGGATTAGTTGAGGTATTTATTCGGTTTTTTCAGTGTCTCCTACATGTTAGACACTTTTGATGTACACAGTTTTTGCCACGGGATCCTCTGCTATACAAACAGAAACTGCAATATAATATACTCAGCCCTCTGGAAGCTTCCTGGAGGAGATAATCCCTCCAGGATGTGCTGTCTGTTGGCCAGACTGTTGGGTTGAACTTCCATGGGCTCTTCTAGCTAATCAACAAAATGATAGCCAGTGTATGGGAAATTCCTATTTCTAGGGAAACTTAAAATGGATAAGAAAGAGTAAAGCGAGATGATTAGGTTCAACTTCAAACTATGTACAGAGTGAAACTTTGTTTTTCTCAAGGATGTAAAAGGAAATAGAAAACACCCTGGGCATCCCACATGATTAGACAGAAGGATACTATCCAAATGTGGGTCGTTTTCAAGAAAGTAGCTATTAAAATGAGGTACTTTTCATTTAATTTTCCATTGGCACTTAACTCTGTTCTACAAAATCAGGGATACTTTTGGACTCCTAAAAATCAGTAGGCCAAAGATGTGCTTTTGATAGAGAATTTGTGCTTTATTTTTCTCAAATACAGAAAGTAACCAGAAGACAAGTTTCATAGGATTATTTTGAAAACTGAAGTTCAGGAAAGAATTTTGTAAACTTTTAAGCACTATACAAAGATTACTACTTCTGACAACAATATATTCCCCTCTGGATTTGTTGTGGGAACCGCGGATTTAGAGAGAATGAAGGAACAAACTTTTGCTATCTAACATGTCGGGATAGCTTGAACTTTGTAGCCCTGACCTACAGCCACTTCTCTGCACTTAGGAAGGGTCGGTGGCTCATTATGCCCATGCCTACACTATTACAGTATGCATTCAGGTGCTGCAGTAAAGAGGGAATACTGGAAATATTCTACATCCTACTTCGGTGAGTAGCATGTGGGGTCTTAAAAGCTTGTGAGTGGCCATCTAAGATACTCCACTGGTCTCACCCTTTTGGGAGCAAGGGAGAATGAAGAAAACTAAAGACACAAGGGAAAGATTAGTCCAAAGGACTAATGGACCACAACTACCACAGCATCCACAAGACTGAGTCCAGCACAACTAGATGGTGCCCGGCTACCACCACCAACTGCTCTGACTGGGATCACAATAGAGGGTCCTGGACAGAGCTGAAGAAAAATGTGGAACAAAATTCTAACTCAAAAAAAAGAAAAAAAAAAAAAAAAACCCACAACAGACCAGGTCTGACAGACTGGAGAAACCCTGAGAGTATGGCCCCAGACACCCTTTTAGTTCAGTACTGAAGTCACTCCTGAGGTTCACCCTTCAGCCAAAGATTAGACAGGCCCATAAAAAAATGAGACTAAAGGGACATACCAGCCCAGAGGCAAGGACAAGAAGGCAGGAGGGGATAGGAAAGCTGCTAATGGGGAACCCAAGGTCAAGAAGGGGAAAGTGTTGACATGTCATGGGGTTGGCAACCAGTGTCACAAAATAATATGTGTATTGTTTAATGAGAAGCTAGTTCGCTCTGTAAATCTTCATCTAAAGTACAAAAAAAAGAGGGGATACTGGTAAACTGCTAACAGGTCCCACTGGCTCTCGAAGGGGAACTGATTCAAGGGTTGAACTGGGGTCTTCAATAACACTGGTTTCCCAGCCTGGCTTCAGCACTCCCATCTGGTAATTCCACAGCTTTAGCTCACCTCCAAATAAGCATTCTTACTGAAACAGGATTGTTTTCAACGGATTTTGGAGACTGAATCCCTGAGACTGGCATAAGTAGACTGGTGGCTGTGGTGATAGATTGTCCGAATGTGACAGAGCTCCCTCAGGAGCTGCCAGGACTAATGGGGGTGCTGCGAGCTGGACACACCATCGTTGGGATTGAGGCAAATACCCCACAAGATATGCTTTTAAGGAGGAAGTATCAATGGCTCTAAAATCTTAACAACAATTCATTTCTAATTTAACTCGAGTAACAGTATTTGAGGACTTAAAGAGGAAGGCTCAGTTTACAGAGAACAGGTTATGGTGCCTGGTAAAGGTCAGTATTGGAAAAATAGCTCATTTTTCTTTTCCAAAAAGAGGCTGTAAGTTTGTCAAGATTCTCAGGATGTGCTATTTTCGAATACCCAAGCAGAACATATTTTTGTTAAATTTAAAAGGCACAACTACTTATACTGAGGGAAATAACTTTTTTTTTTTTTAAATTAAACACTTATAACTTCTTTTTTTCCTCTGAATACTGAAATCATAGAAACATTCATATCTGCATACTTTTTCTGGTTCCATGACTTCTTCTGAAGTACTTCTGTCTGGAAAAGTACAAATCTGAAGTTCATCCACTAGTCTGTTAAACAATTAAAATGATCTACGTGTGAAGCGTCAAGAGCTGATTTCAGTGTCTTGTAAGGGAATTCTGTCTCAGGAAAATGAGAGAAATTTGGGGCCATGTGATTGACATTTGTTCTGCCCTTTAGTGATTTCTGTAATGCAAGCAATCTCTTGTGGAAACTGCCCTGTATTTGTATCACTCAGGCAAACTGAGCACAGGGCAGTTCATCTTACTGTGCTTTGCTCTGGAACATTTTCAAGCTTGATTTCTGCAGCCACAGAAAGTCTGTCGACCTTAAAAGTAAAAAGTAAGATACCTAAGGTAGACACACATATGGTGAACCTGTGTTTTGTACTGTCATCATTAAATGTATTTGTGTACTTAAAATATTAGAGAAACAGTCATTCTCAAATAGATACTGATCTGCTGTGAAATATATCCTCAAATCATCTTACTGCCTGTACATCCAGGCTGATCACACTGTTAACAGAAATTAGCTAAGGTCTGGAGAACGCATCTTATTCTTAGTGCTTTCTTTTTACTCATAAGCAAAGTGCTCTAATCCAAAAAAAGGAATAAAATATGTTTGATGGAGGCTCTATGGAAAAAAATGTTTTATGTTCTATTGTCTGCATATAAAAATGGTTTCACAACAAACATTCTTTCTATTTGATGAAACTGAAAATACTGGTGGATAATAATTAGAATTTTATATCAGAGGATATAGCTGTCAGTTTTTAAAACGGCTTGTTTTATATTTCAATTAAGTTTATGGAACTGAAAAACTACAAAAAAGGAAGGAAAAAAACCCCAAAACTACTTAAACCAGGGGAGACCAAGAAGCGACCGTTATTACAAGGGAAATATTATGTCAAGGAAATGACTCTTTTGTTTTGTTGCAAAAGTGATAAAAACACAAAAGTCAATCAAACTGTTAAAATAAGTCTCCGTAATTACCCAGATCAAAATCCAGTGGCTTTTTATTAAACATGAACTTTTGTTCTGCCTTCTGCAGTACGTAAATAGTGCTGACAATCGGTTTGTGAGGCGCTGGCTACAATAAAATGTAATTGTATCGTGAGGAAAAGGTGACAATCGAGAGACCATGGAAAAATTACATATTCTCACTGGTAGTTAATTAGCCAAAACCTCCTCCAACAGATACTCTCTTCTATTAGGAATGATTACTATGCAGGCCTACAGATGTCAATACCACAGTCATTCAAATACTTCTTTCCCTACTAATTGAAGGTTGTAAAGCTCTGGTGCCAAGGTTTTGCTTCCAAAGAGCTAATTTATGACTAGAAGGATATTTTATGTCTTCAGTTGCAGCAGCTACAAAATTCAGCAAATCAGAACCATCTGTGCATGGATACTTGACTCACCCTTCATCTAGCAGCCTATCAGTCACATTAGTTTGCATCCTGCATTCTTGGCTCGTGAACGCTTGTGATGATCCAAAGTTCATAGAAATATTAAAAATGAATGGCATCCTGACCCTGCCTTATTGTACACGCATCAGGAAAAAAAAACACTTTTTTTTTTTTTTTTTGCATAAGGATAATGTCAAGGCAGAAACAGACATATAGTTATCTGTCCAGTGATGTTCCTATTAGCCTGCTCAGGTCCCCCCACCCCAACTCTCTTAAAAAATGTTTTAAGTCCTAATTCTTTTGTATTGTTTCAAGTTCTAATTTTCTTTTTTTTTAAGTTGGCATGAGGGAGTCCGGTGGAAGATGGCAGAGTAAAAGAGGAGCTGTAACTTTGAACAAATGATACTTGTTTATTTCAAATAAAATTTTCTATAGATTGGAATATCAACACATACAAATAATCTGCTTAAATCCGAGAATATTATTATCATCACCAAATTATAGCCAGACTGGTAGGCAAACACTGTTGCCGTCAAGTCAATTCTGGCTGATAGCAACCCTAAAGGACAGCGTAGAACTGCCCCATAGGGTTTCCAAGGAGCGGCTGGTGGATTCCAACTGCTGACCTTTTGGTTAGCAGCCGAGCTCTTAACCACTGCGCCACGAGGGCTCCGGGAGGCAAACACAGTGGGCCGTAAAGAAGTCAGTGAAGAGTCTCACTAGTGAAGTCAGATTCGCCTTTAATCTTACCCTAGTCATATCCCCATGACATCAGTGACTGCTTTGCTCCTTAAATAGTACACAGCAGGCCGCAGACCCTACTCCTTTTCGCTAAGAACTTTCAACAAACTTTCTCCTTGAAGGCTGAGATCACGCAACTTTAGCAGAGTTAGGGACAGTAAGAATTAAACATAATGAGCAAGAAGCTGGGGTGTCAGACTCATTTTGAGACCTAAAACAACTTCATCTGGTAGGAAAGGGTCCCAGAGACTACGTTACTTACTTTTGGATTGTCTGGAGGATGCACACGTACGCCGTGTCTGTGAGTGGAAAATTCCAGTGGCCCAAGAGGCATTCCACCTGGGTTCAGAATCTTCTGGAGCATCTGATAGTTTGGCTTTTCATCGTATGCTAAACTATGAACGCACTCCATAAATCGGGCTATTTCACCTGTGAAGTATTAAAGATTCTTCAAGTCAGTCATAACTGGGAAGAATTGTCAAGACCCCAGTAACCTCGGAATCTCTTTGTTCTCTCTGTCTCTCTCTCATACACACACACACACACACACACACACACACACAC